GCCTCCTTTCGCCCTCTGCCTTTCTTTAAATGGGCCTGCGTCAGGCCCCGCCCACCGCCGCCCCGGCTCCACCCATTGGGTGCTTTCAGAAGAGGGGCGGGGACTGGTGGGGGAGAGGCCAGTTCCTGGGTGAGGGTGTTGGGGTGGGTGATGGTGATGGCCTTGGACGCGAGTCAACAGTTGGGTGAGTGTGGGAGGGTGGCCATGTCTAGAGTAGGAGGTGGATGGCGGCTCCATCTTGTAGGGTGAGTGGGTCTGCGGGTGTGGATGGAGCTGGGAGATCTACCAGTCTGAATAACAAAGGGAGACAGCTATACCCAAGGACCTGCTAGTGGCACAGCTGGGGCTTAAGTCTACAGGGGTGTGTGCCTTTCACATTTCCCTTCCGAATCCTCAGAGGCCCCTTTTGGCATCTTCGTTGAAAACTCTTCTCTCTTGACCCCCAATGCATTGCAAGAAGCTAGTGAACACTCAGGTAATGTGGGTGGCATAGGAGAGAAAAGCTTCCTCCTGGCACTGGAACCATCTTCCTCTTTGAAAGATGCTTAATCAGGAAAGCAACTCCATAGAACTAAACATTCTTCGCTCAAGTTGAGCAAAGATCAATTACAACAAAGCCATTTTGCTTAGAGAATACAATTATATTGAATATATATTTCTACCTGGGTATCACTTCATATTTCATTTGTTTTTTAAAAAGATATCTCTGTAGCACCATCCCTGTCATTAGAAAGGCTGCAGCGTCACACATACTCAACAGGCTCTGTTGAGCACGTTAAGGACATCTGACCTTTTGTATTTGGGAGGACATTTTTGCCATCTTTTCCACGTTCCACGCTGAACTCAGTACCTGGGAGGGAGAGGGTATTCTATTAATATGCCTGCTGAATGGAACAATGCAAAAGCGATGATTATTTGAAATGGAGTAAGGTAAAAGAAATTATGAAATTGTTTAGAAAATGGTAATTCTATGTTTTTGAATTTATATTGCGATTTTCTCAAAGACTTTTAGAAATATTTTTGTTTTTTCCCCAGTGCTAGAAATTAAACCCAGAGCCTCAGTAGTACCAAGCAAGCACTCTACAAGAGCAATAGATTTCTTTTAACTTTTTGATGATATAGAAAAAAATCCTGATACTTAGAACTTCGAAGCAGATGTGCAAATTTTATCCCACAGTAAACATAATTTTGCAAAAGACAATAAAGTGCAAAATTTCTGTGATTTATATGTAGTGACTAATGGTTCCCTTGACTATTTGAACTTAGACCTCGTTCAAGCTCTTTTTTTCACAGATGAGGAAATATAGACCCATAGAGATTTCATTACTATGTCTTATTGATGGCAGGATTGGGACTCAAGGTCTTCCGATGCCTACTCTACAGATCTTTATATGCACTGGTAGTTTTTCAAATTGTATTCCCCTGTAATTCCATGAGGTAACCAGGGGACACAGCTATGCCCCTATTCCTATTTCCAACCCATGCAGAATTGAACAGTTTTTAATCTGTCCTATATATGACCTAGATAATATTTTGTTTGAACCAGATAACACTTTGCTCATTTTCAATAAATACTAAAAAATAATTAGGAAGTTGCTTCTCTACACTAAAGTGTCCTCTCCACACAAGGGGTTTATTGCAAAACTAAAACTTCTGACTGTGAACCAACCCTCTACCAAAATCACTGTACTTTCTGAAGATAAAATCATTTTCCCAAAAAGCACAGATAATCAGAACATTATTGAGCTTATTAGCAAATTTCCTAACTCCTTATAAAGAAATTATATTGCAGCAACTCTTTATATCACAATTAGTTCTCGTGAAGAGTACGGTGAAATGTGAATGACTTCCTTTAGAATACTGGATATTAACAGAGAATCTTACAGAGTGAGCCAAGTAGGGGAACTTCACAAGGAAAGGAAAAGACAAAATTAGGATAAATGTAGTTCTGGCTTCTTACGGTACTATTCTTACTATTCTGTATTAATTACAATCTTATCAATTCTTTAGGTCTTTTGGCACATAAATATGTACCAGGCATCTCTATAAGACATATAGAATTGATTTCAATTAAGAAAGTAAATATTTTTCAACACAAATTTAATTCTAAGAAAACAAGATCTCAACAAATTGCTGAGAAGTCCAGTTTATTTATATTGCAACCTCAGTGAATTTACTTAAAACTAAACATAGTATTTTAACGAAATATTATTAGGAACTAGTATCGTGTTAAGCTGCTTAAATTATTTTATAGTTTTAAGTTTGACTGTTTATTCTTTTCTCATTATTTCTTAAATGCTTCTTGACCTTCATCTTTTGATTGGCTCAAATAGTCTTACAAATCATTCCTTATCCATTCTCTGTAAGTGAGTAGGACTTGCACATAAAGGTAATATATTTCTTCAAGGTCCTGAGATAAACATAAAGTTTATGGAAAATTGGCAAATTAAATTTTCCTTCCTGAGAAATGACAATTAACAGTCCTCAGTTTATCCCTTTACTTCTCAAAGATAATGCTTCTTGTGTCTGATAGGTGACAGAATAATCATAAACAACTACACACATCTATTTTCTGTATTTATAATTCACATTATAAAAAATTTGAAAAATTGGAGAAATTAAAATCAAAATATATTTTGTAGCTGCTCTAAATATTTGCTTTAATATCCCATTTCTATCAAATAATTTATTTGCTTCTTGAGTAGAAGCCAAAAAATAATAATATACGAAAGTTGTTATAAACATCAGCCCTGGAATCAGACTTGGAATCAAGTATATCTTTACAACAAAATATTTTCAGATTTTAAAAAATCTTTCTAAGTCAATATTATCTACAAAAATGTATGTAACCTCTATTTCAATGGACTGTTTTGAGGATTAGATGAAGTACTATTTATAAAACCTTTACTGTAGTGCCTAGAACATGGTAAGTAACATTCAATAAATTGCAGCTATCTTTATCTTATCTAATTTGGGACTTTTACTTGGTTAAACCAACATTTCAAACCCATTACAGAAAGTCTATATATACAAATTAAACACACAGACATACACACTGTTTGAGACTGTCTCACTCTGTAGTTAAGGCTGGGCTTGACCTCACTGTGCAGCCCAGGCTGGCCTTGAAATGGCAGTGATTCTCCTGCCTCAGCCTCTCAAGGCTGGGATTACAGGTGTATGCCACCACACCTGGCTCTACATATTTTTTAAAATAATAGAATGATAGAATGGAAACAACATTAGAGCTGAAGGGAATCTTAGAGATTATCTAATGAGGCCCACATTCTGAATTCAGATGGGAACACTGAGATCCTAGAGATCTGCCCAAGGTCACAGCTGGACAGCGGAAGACTCAACTAGAATCTAGTTCTCTAACTACTGGTCTGTAGTTGTTTCTAACATGCAAAGTTTTGTATTTAATCCAAGGACATAACATTAATTTTTAGTTTAATATAAGACTCTGAAAAATGGAAATAAGGGATATAGACTTGAGGTCTTAGATGGCAAAGGGGTATAACAGTGAGTTTCCTGGTTGCCTTTCCACCCCCATCGGAGATTGGTTGCTGGAGAAACCAGCAACCCAGAAATGCTAACAGTTGTAAACTTAAATAGTTCCAGAAAAAACTTGTTTTCTTTAGCCATGGAAAGGGGCACCCTAGCAAGACAGAAATCTTTTAGAAAACGATTGCCCTCCTGGCACAAAACACCACAAATAAAAGATGTAACTTCTGACCCTGCCACGCTATAAAAAGGCACACCCATACCCCTGTTGGGGTAGTATCAGAGGAGGCTAGATAAGGAATCAGGAACTTTCCTTCCAGGCTGTAACTAGGCAGCCTCCACTCAAGATATAAGTGGAGACATACCTATTCCTCCAGCCCTAGTAGGAAGCCCACATTCCCATGCCCACCCAACACTAATTGAGAGCCCCTCACCTCCACCTGGGTCTCACTGGAAACAGAGTTAGAAATCTGGACTCTGCTGGTAGTGCTGAGGCAGTTGGAGCAGTGTCAGAGAAAAGCAACTAAAACATTTATGCAAAGTTTCAGAGACATAATGGAATACTGAAAATATCTAGGTTTCAATTGAAAATCACCGGGACACTCTTGAATGAGAAAAGATAAATAGCTGCCAACACTGGGGTGAAAAAGATGTTAGAGTTATGTGACAGAAATTTTCAATTAATCATAAAAATACATCAACAAATAATTATGACTATTTTAAAACTTAAGTATTAAATGAAAAACTAGAAAGCTACAGCAAAGAAATAGAAAATCTCACAAAATAAACAGGAGATACAAAGAAAAGAACCAAATGGACATTTTAGAACTACCGTTATAAAAAGTTGAGTGGATGACTCAACATTAGAATAGAAAGAACAGAGGAAAAAATGGTAACCTGAAGAAACAATAATAGATATTATCCAATCTGAAAACAGAGGAGAATGAACAAAACCTCAGGGACCATAAGGGAGTATAAGATTTAATATTTGTGTCATCAGAAATCCAGAAGGAGAAGAAAACGAAGAGGAGGCTGAAAAAGGTACTTAAAGAGCTAGGCATGGTGGTACGCACCTATAATCCCAATACTTGGTAGGCTGAGGCAGGAAGATTTCAATTTTGAGGCCACATTGTGCTACACAGTGAGTTCAATGTTGCACTGGACTGCATAGCACAACCCAGTTTCAAAAAAGAAAAAAAAATACTGGAAGAAATAAATGGTTGGAAATGTGTAAAGTTTGCAAAAGACAAAGACACAACATTCAAGAGCAAACCCAATTAAATCAAAAGAAGCCCACGTCAAGACACAGCATAGTTACACCTCTGAAAACTACAGATACAGAATAAATTCTTAAAATTAGCTTAATTTAAA